CAACTACCTGGAGGGAACCCCGGAAATCAACCTCAACAGCAGTCGGCGCCGAGACAAGAACGCTCCTGTGACTGAGTGGGAGCGTACCCAACTTCGAGGAGTCTTGGGTGCCATTAGCTGGCACGCGCAGCAGGTAGCACCTCAGTACTCTGCTGAGGTCAGCCTGTTGCTGTCTGAGGTGAACAAGGGGACAGTGGACACGGTGATTCGAACGAATCAGCTGTTGGCAAATGCCAAGGCTCAGAAGGGTCACTGCCTCAGGATCCACAGGTTTCCTGCGGATCAGCAGCTGGGCCTGTTTGCCTGGGTGGATGCGGGAAGCCAGAATCGCCCCGACGGCGGTTCTACCCAAGGCATAGTGATTGGCCTGGCTCCAGTGAGCTTATTGCAGGGAGATGTGTGTCCTATAAGCTTAATGGCCTGGCACTCAAACCGCATCGAACGGACATGCCGAAGTCCTGGGGCGGCAGAGACCCAAGCAGCAGTTTCAGGAGAGGATCTGCTGTACTATGCTCGCTACGAGTGGAGCGAGATCATGTTCGGTGTAGCAGATGCTAAGGCACCGGATGCGGCAGTGACTAAGGTGACTGGCGCGGTCATTTCTGATTCGCGCAATGTGTTTGACAAACTGCAAACAGAAGTGCTCAGCATCAAAGGGGCAGAGCGGAAGGCTGACATCGAGCTGTTGAGTATCAAGGAGGCTCAGCAGCGCACTAAGGTGTTGGTCCGTTGGGTTCACTCAGAAGCTCAACTGGCAAACTCTTTGACTAAGTGCGGCGGAAGCAAGGAGATTGAGCTCTTCTACAAGATGAACAGTTCATGGCGGATAGTCGAAGATGAGCAAATGCGCTCAGCACGAAAGCGAAAGGCGGATGGCTTGCAGCCTTTACAACAAGCAGACATAGCAGAGATTGAACCGGAATTACAAATGCCGTGGTTGGGTGTTTGAACTCCTTCAGGCTTCCAGGAGTGGGGGCCATGCAAGTTTCCACATGTCTGCTCTCGCGTGTGAAGCCATGCGATCGCAGCTACGATGAGTCAAGAGCTTAACAGCTAGGGGAAAAAGGACGCCATATCTTCGCTCTGCTTTGCCGAGCCTCCGAACGGTGTCTCTTCTGCTGTGAGCTTACTCTCATAAGCCCGGGCCTTTCACTGTGCAAGCGCCACGCTTGCAAACCCTACCCTAAACCCTAAACCCTAAACCCCCGGGGCCCCCACAATTCCACGATCACGTTC